CGCTCCTCCAGCAACCGGGATGAATCAGTTCCGTACTTTCCTCGACGGCGACGTCGCACTCGACGCCCCCTCCCCGGCCCGCCCTACCTCGCCAACTCTCTCGCACTTGTCAGCTTGACGACCACCGTCTGTACCGAGTTGAGCGCGCCGTCGGCCCCGCAGCCGAGCCCCAGAGCCAGGAGGCGGGCGATGGTGAGGGTCCCCCCCGGCGGGGAGCGGTACGGAGGCGCCCTCGTGCGAAGCGATGTGGCGGGCGATCTCGCGGACGGCGCGGACGTCCTCGGGATACTTCTTGTAGTAGGCCTCGTTGCGGCTCGTGACGCGCTCAAACGTGGCCTCATACACTTGGTCAGGGGTCTTGTCGAGGGGGGCGAGGCCACCGGTCAGGAAGACCTCGCGGAGACCCTGGGGGAAGCGGGAGAGATAGGTCAGGGCGACGAAGCCGCCGAAGGACTGGCCGAAGATGGACCAGGGCCGTTTCTCGGCGGGGTAGCCCTCGGTGAGACAGGCGCGGACGGCCTCGCAGTCGTTCACGATGCTGTCCTGGCGAAAGAGACGCAGGTACGCAGCCTGGGAAGCAGCATCAGTACCGGCCCTCTGCTTGACGGAGGCGGCGGATATGGGGGTGCTGGAGCCGACGCCGCGGTAGTCGAGGAACAGGACTTGATACCCGCGGGTCAAGGCAAGGCGGGTCAGGGGCATGTCCTGGGGCTCGCGGTTGCCAAAGCCAGGACCGCCTTCGAGATAGACGAGCCATGGCTTCTGGTCAGCCTTGGTGGCATCGGCCGACGACAGCGGCACAATTGGACGCTCATGTTTGGTCACGCTACGGCCAAAGAGCTTGAGAGTGCCGGCAGGAGGGTTCGAGTAGTCAGCGGGCACTTCGAAGAAGAGCTCGGAGACTTGGAGTTGGTCTGAGGATGTTAGCATAGGCGTGAGAAAAAGGATTGGAAATGACGAGATGGAATATATGTACCTGGCAGGATATGGGATCTTCTGCTCAGCAGCTTCGCGGCATTGATGATTTTCCCTGCCATTGTTCAGGCAGTGCCAGCCAGGTTGGCTGATCTGGGCGAAGGGAGTGCGATGGTTCAACGTTGGAGAGAGTAAGACGCCAAGAAGAAGTTGGAGTGTTGGAATGAGAAAGAGACAGTGTATGAATACCTATTTGCGGCTCCAACGAGAATGGTGGTGATAGATGCTCTCGAGTAGCTCTCTGTCTGTCTCCTTAAGATGCTGTGCATCATGGAGGGGTTGATGAGTGGAGCTCTGAAGCCAGCGGTTGCCAACTGCCCAAAGCAGCCAGGTCGGTGCCCACCAACCTAAGGTAAGTACCTACTAAGGTACCTAGCTCCTGCAGTGCCGTGAGCGGCAGGGGTCGGCCTCGGGGTGCGTATCGCCGAAGGTGGTGTGGTGCAGTGCTTGGTGTGGGTCGCCCACGTGACGCGTATCCGTGCAATGAGGAAGCTGCCCTCGGCATCCACACCTTCTGCAAACCAGGTCCCAACAGACTGACTGCTACTACTACTTCTTCCCTTCCTCCATCACCCACCATCTTCTTCCAACACCATCCTTCATGCCTCACACCGCGCACTCTGAACGCGACCTCAGCAATGTGATGAACTATATCAATCTGACGCAGACATTGGTTGATTCTTTCCATGCTCTTGCCGATGAGGTTCAGGCTCTGACTGACAGAAAAACCATCCTGGAACACAAGCTGAGGTTCGCCCACGAACAGGTAAGCCCACTACTACATTTCTTCATTTGTCAGCCAAGCATGCCATCGCTCCTCCACGGCCATGCGAGGCGGGTTCCCCTCTACATGATGAACAAAATTTAGCTCTAGATCAAGAGATGCAAGCTGCACCGAAGATCGACAAGATTTTACCAATTTCTGACCTGTTTACCCCTGCTCCCTTTTTTTTTCTCCCTTGGTTTTTCTCCGAACCACTTCGGTCTTCGAACAGACATGCTGACACGAGGCCCCCCGGCTGCCTGCCGACAGTACCAGTTCCTAGCAGACAAATATGCACCCAACGCCCCAGACATTGCAGAGACTCTGGCCAAGCTCCAGCTCCCGTCAGACCTGCCCGTAGACGACGCCAAACCTGTACCCTTGCCCCGGCGCAACAACCTTGACACGCGCAACCAGCTTGCGCTGCTCATCCGTGACGGTCGCCGAAGCGCCAAACAGCTTTCAGCCCTTGTGGAGCCGAGTAAAACGAGTGTATCTAGCAGAGGCAGCCTGTCGTGCGACGGGCAAACAGTCACATCCATGTCGACCGCACTGGAACAAGACTTCACCATCGAGGGCAAGAAGGGCCAGCTTCAATGCCCCTTCTCGGCGGCCCCGACACCCAAACCCGACACGGTGAACGGCCACGTTCATGATGGCTCCGCCGAACATGGCCTGCAGGACACCACCCCTCATCACTCTGCCGATCCCATCTGTGCCGCCATGCTAGAGGAAGCCACATCGCAGCAGGCCCAGTCCAGCGGCAACGCCGCCAAGTGTCCCATTCGCTACCTTGACCAGCACTCTCCAGAGGAAATTGCCCACTACGTCGAGACACACAAGCACGAGTTGCCACGCAGCCACGAGGTGTGTGTCCGCCGCTACCAGAGAAGTGAAGACCAAATTCGCAAGCTTGACGCCAAGTACGGCAACCTAGTCAGCATGGTGCAGGGTCTTAGCACGCTCCACAAGCCCATGCTGCCGACGTCGCAAATGCAGGAAGAGATTGACAAGGCGTCGAATGAAAGAGTGGAAAATTGGGCGCATGCCGTGACGTCGGATGCCACGGACGACATTGAGGAAGTCAACTCTACGCCTCCGGAGCAGCCGAACGACGCGGATGATGAACGCCAAGGTCATTTTGACCGTCCGCTCAAGGAGGTTCGCGTCGGCGAGTCTCCGAGCCGTCCCTGGGGCATCTCCGTTCCTGTCTATGAGACGCACAGGTTCGAAGACGAGGACGGGCCGCCGTTGTCGCCGCCGCCCGCACCCGTCGTCATGCCAACTTCATCGCAAGGTCTTCCGACCCCAGCAGGTCACCCGACTCCAGCCAAGGCTCCTGGGGGCAAGTGCCCATTCGATCACACCAAGCTCGCCGCTGTCATGAACGGACTTGATGCGTCTCCACCAGCATATCCCAAGACGGATGAGGGCAAGGACCCTGAGCCGCACCAGCTACCTGCGACACCCCCTCTGAGACCTGTCACACCACCAGCCAAGGCACAACCAGCACCGCCATCGCTTCCGAAGACCACCTTCGCTCCTCCTCAACCAACCTTTGTTCCACAATCGACGTACGCACCTCAGCAACCGACCTTTATCAACCCCTCGGCTGAATCTCTCAAGCCGGGTGGGCCGCAGATGGTTTTCACGGGCCCCGTCTTTATCGGGTATCCCATCGAACAAGCCATTCAGTTTATGCAGCACTTCCAGGGGCAGCGGCCATGACCTGCTTCTCGTACTTTGTTTGTTCGTTTGTGTTTTCGTAGCGCCGGCGTTTTGGGTTAGCGTTTTCTATTCAGACTGTAATCACCCACGAGCGTTTGTACTTGTTCTTGATCTCATGACGGGACGATGGGTTGGGGAGTATTTGAGGATGAGGACGAGAGCGTGCTGTCCTCACGGCGTAACAATAGGATACCACATATCAATTCAGATGAATACTTGACACGCATGGAAAGAGAACCAGTCGATGACGGAATGTGTCTATGTTTTGTTTGTACCTTCCCATGTGTGCACCATCTATAGTAAAGAACCCTTCCAGGAAAAAAACAACACAGGTACCCAAAACCCTAATCAGAAAACGCCAACCAGCTTCCACAGACACGCTACTGGCACCCATGATTATCAACAGCAGCGGCGGCGGCAAAAAGAGCGTTCTTGTCGAAAGACGCAACGACGAAGAAAGAAAGAAGGAAAGAAAGAAGACTCGGCACAATGGAGATGCACAGCCTACTCTCTCCTCCCATTCTTCGACCGCCGCGCTTCATCCACGACGCCCGTCTCCTGGCCCCCGGCCTCGTCCTCGTCCCGATACCGCGCCTCCTCCTCGTTGCCCCAGAGGCTAATGTCATCCTCGCTCATGAGGGCCGCGACGTCCTCGGGGTCGACGAGGCCGGCCTCGACGTCGGCGTAGTCAAAGTCGGCATGGCCGCGGGCGACGCCGCCGCCGGCGGAAGACGAGCCGTCGCTGCCGCGCCTGTGCTGGCGGTGGTGGTGGTCGTGGTCCGGGTGGGCGTGGTCGTGCTGCTCGAGGGCCAGCTCGGCGGCGCGGGCCATGGTGCGGTGGTAGATGAGCCAGCCGACGGCGAGGCCGACGAGGCCGCCGAGGGCCATGGAGGTGTAAGTGACTGCATTGTCGGCGGCGGTCATGGCGTCGCCCTGTCGGCGATGAGGCCGAGGCGCGAGCCGATGAAGACGTGGACGAGCAGCTTGGGGCTCGCGAGGGCCGTGGCGGCGGCGAAGGCGGCGGGCCGCACGGCGGGCACGGTGGCGAGGAAGCCGTTGGACACGCTGTAGGGCAGCGGGCAGAAGCGCACGGCCGTCAGCATGCCGAGGCCGTCGCTGCGGAGGACGTGGCCGAGGGCGACGAAGCGCGGGTCGGCGCCGACGAGGCGGTGCACGTAGCCGCTGAAGACGGTGCGCGACGTGTAAAAGGCCGTCAGGCTGCCGGCGACGGTGGCCGTCGCCACAATGGGGTAGGCGTGCGGGAAGCCGTAGACGAAGCCGGCGACCGTCACGGACGTGCCGTAGCCGATGACGGGCGGAAAGGCCGTCGCAAAGGTGAAGAGCCAGGCGAGCACCCAGCCGCCGGGCAGGGCGCGCCAGCGGTGCGACACGGGCGCGAGCCACGCGAAGATGGCGTGCGAGTAGATGACGAAGAGGAGGACGACGACGTTGACGACGACGAGCGCCAGCGTCAGCGCGAGCCGCTGCACCGGCGGCAGCCGCAGGTAGAGCACCCAGAGGTTGTTGGCCGTCTTGTGGGCGGCACGCAGCGCCCGCGTCAGCGCCGGCGGCTGGTGGCGGGCAAAGCGTGTCGTCGAGAGCCGCCGCGAGGACGGCGACCGGCGAGCCCAGGGCGGAGGAGGGTCGGGCGACGATGTGGCAGATGGCGAGGCGCGCCGCGTGGGCGAGGCGAGACCGGGCTCCGGCGATATGGACAGCGCCTGGGCCGCCGACCACGCATCGCTGCCGTTGGCGGGCATGGCTGGTGATGGGTGTTCGTTTGGGAGTATGTTCTGCAAAGGGATGATCGGAGGGGTCGTCGTTCAGAGGAGCCAAGTCGAGAAAGAGAGCGAGCAAGCAGGCGATGATGGATGGGTGTTGACGACGGCCCTGCGTCGTGAGAGCGAGCTTCGAGCGGCGTCGAGCTTCAATGATTCGGGTGAGCAAAAGAAGCTAGCTCGTGGCCATGTTCCACAGCAATCGGAGAAGGCGAGGATGCAGTGTCGTGGAGGGAGTTTTGCGCTGTCGGATACACCGGGGGGTTTGGAGGGGAGGTTCAATTGATACGAGGTCTAGGCAGTCGTCATGGGTTGGTCAGCACTTGCGCTGTGCCGCCCAGAGGCTCGAGAACCGCACGCCCCCCAACGACCAAACGTCAATACATACCTTGGGTAGATGGCGCTACAGCAGCTCAATTTGCTATCCGAGGAGGATTATCCGAGGAGGATTCGTTCGGTTGTGTTGTGCCATGGCAAGGGAAGAAGATGGAGAGAGGTCAAATGTCCCGTGTTCCAGCACTGACGTTGAACCATACACGCCCCAACAAGGCTTAGCGCTGCTTCGCCTTTGACTGATCGGCACGACAAACTGCTGTATGCATTGGTATCACACTTTGGCAGTACCCAAAGGGCAAGAGTGAATGCCTCTATATTGTATCCTCGTCTTCTTCTTGCGTCTTCAATATCTTGGTCTCGTCTTGGGTCTCGTCTTCTCATGCCAGCCCTCCCCCCCCCCCGCAGAATCCCTCGTCTCAGCTCCATCTCATGACCGTCTTGCGCTCGGCCCCTTGGGAGGGTCTCGAACGAGCAGCCTCACCTTGCCATCCCCAATCTCGACGCCCTGACTCAGAATGTCGACCTCCTCTTTGCTGCTGCTCCCGGACGGGCTCGCCGCGCCCGACCTGGCGAGGCTCTTGTCGTAGCTCGTCGCGTCGATGCCCAGGATCCCGCCCATGTTGTTCCGGTCCCCCGGCACCGAGAACTCCCGGTATGCGTACCGCCACTCGTTGAGGAAGTTGCGGATCGCCTTGCCCACCTTGTCCTTGCCGCTCTTGCTGTGGTGGCCCGTCCCCGTGATGGCGTATATGGGGCGCCCCTCCTTGCTGTTCTCCGCCAACACCCGCTCCAGGTACTCGACTGCCTCCTCGGGGTGCAGCCCGTGCAGGTCCACGTACATCTCGGCACTCGTCGAGTTGGCCCGGTTGCGCTCTTCGTACAGCTCCCGCGCCGCCTCGCGATGCGCTTTCCGCATGAGATCGTTCTCACTTTGGCCCCGCAGGCTCAGCGCCTTGGCGGCCCGCGCGTCGTTCCGGTTCCATGCCTGCGCAGCGCTGTCGTCATGGTCAGTCATTGTTTCTGCTCGCTCAACCTTCGCCAGAAAGGAAAAGCAGTGAGGAAGAGCAGTGAGGGGGCCGGACATACCTCTGCAGGAATTTGTTCCTGAGGCCGCCGTGCTTGATAGCCTCCTGGCGCGCCTTCAAATACAACTTGTTGGCCCGCTCGCCCGTCTCCAGCCAGGGGATATGCTTCGGGCTCTGGATCGCCTGTGCTGCCAGGCTGTTCTCCCCGTTGCGGATGTTGGTCGAGCTGCCGTTGCGCCCAATCTTCTTCAGGTCCTGCCGCAACACCGCCGGCGCCGGCGAGGGCGACATTTTGACAATTTCCGCCAGCGAACTAGGCGCCACAAAGTTTTCCTTGTGGTTGTGCCCGCCCCTTTTGCCGTGGTGCTTCTTCGGCTGCTTGGCCGCGGCCGAGCCAAGGGACGGGAAGGCATCGGCATCATCGAGGGAGGGCGCAATGACGACCGCCTCGCGGGGTTGCTGCTGCCGGCTGCCGGGACGAGACCGGGACCTTGGGCTCTCCCCCGCCTGGAACGGCTTGAGACCAGGGGGTGGCGTGATGCCGACGAATGGGTAGCCGCCGTTGGTCTGGCCGACGCCGTGTTCGGGTGTCCCTGGCTGGAGCAGCGGGAACGAGTTGTAGTCTGATACTTGTATGGTGGCCTGCTTAGTGGGGGGCGTGCTGGCGCCATCGAGCGCGAGCTTGTTCATGAGATAGGCCGGATCGTGGGAGAAGATGCACGTGTCCCCTGCGAGGCAGTTGCCCATGACCCAGTACCTGTGAAAAACATGGTTAGTCTTGACGGTGACAGGTAATGGCACAGGAGGCCGGCCACACGTACTTGCACAGATGATTGCTGAGGTCGTGGCTGAACCGGCAATCGGACCGCAGGCACTGGCCTGTGGACATGTAGAACTTGCAAATGACGCCCGACCTTTGCTGGCCGGCCGGGGTTGCGGGCCGTGCCTCGGTGGCCATGGACTTGCCAATGACGATGGACTTGGTCTCCTCTGCCTGCAGGCTCGGGAAGGAGCCGTCTTGCGCCTGGCTCTCCATAATGGCCACGATGGCGGCGCTCAGGTCATAGCCGTGCACGGCAAGAGCGGCCTCGATCTCGTCATCGGTCCGCGACTGTCCGAGTATGGAGCGCAGCATATCGTAGGGCGACATGTCATTCTGCTGCGACGAGAGGGACGAGAACTCAGGGGCCGCGGCATTGAGGCCGCTTGACGTGCCGACGGACGATGTGACGCTGACGGCATCGTCGGCGACGAGCCACTCGACATTTTCCGTCTGGTAGTCGCCGAACGTCTCGGCAGAAGGGGTCGGGT